AAGGTTATTGACCAATAGACACCATTTCTGATCAAATATAGATTATTAGAATATTATATTTTTGAGGATCTGCCTCAACCTGAGATACTTTTTCTTGCAACTGTAGGGCTACAGGTGTGTATGGTGCACAAAAGGGACTGAGTCATTGTTATTCTGAAACTACTCAAGCCTCTCTGACCCTCATCCCTCAGTGACACCGGACTGCTGGGACTGTTTTTGCCCTACGAGGAGAACTGTGACCTTGTTAGTGCCTTCTCTGACAATGTTCACCACTGATTAAATACTCTGCAGAGTTTTACACCATACAACAGGTCTCAGTTAAATTCATAGCCAGAAAATTGGATCATAAACTCTTCACAGGACCGTTAGCAATCATTAGACGAGATAATGGTGTGGTTATCAAAATATGTTAAGTAAAAAATAAAAACAACTTTCAAATGTCTTTTAGTGACTTTGTTGGTTTTGGACATTTTCCAACCCGATTAATGTAGAATTGATTGATTTACAGTTGTAATTAGCTGCACTCTGCATAGATGCATAATAATCATATGTCTCCCTCCTTGTTTTAATGCATTAATTGGTTTCATTAACAAAAGCAGTTAATTGAATAACAATTAACAAAGTTGATGATATCAAACATGCCAACTCCCTTGTGTTTTCTCTATGATGATGATAATGAAACCACCTTTTCTTATCAGATTGAAATTTGGTGTATTGGACGATGTAATGACTAACGTGATATTGGGTTTATTAGTTTATTCCAGTGGCTCACTGAGGCGTTAAGCAGCAAACATTGTGTTTAACAGGTAGCTACCATATGCTGCCATAATCAGACATTGGAATCACATTTGGTTGTTAAATTGTCTCCTAATAAAAACAGGTAATAAAACAACCTGAGCTAATTCAATTTCAGGTAGGTTTGGGTGAAGTGAACAGCTGTTTGTGGAAATGTTTTAACAGCCCCACCGCCACCAAGTCTTTTATTTTTTTAAGGTTTAACTCCAACAGCCTGTTCAACTTTTCTGAAGAAAATAGAGATGGAGGGTGGACGAGCTGTCTTCTTTCCTTAAAAGAAGACAATAGCAGGGATGTTGTAGTGACAGCTTGCATTGTGTGTGTGAGAAGATTTGTGCATGTTAGGAAAACAGAAAAATATAGAGGATGTGTGCACTTGAGTATGCGTGTGCATGTGTGTTGCACTGACAGCTTGTATTCTCCGTGATTAATGATGTGCTGTGTGACTTGATAAGTGCTTCGGAGGACCAACGCTTGTTTCAATTAGACCTTGTGAAGGTCGCGACGCGGAGCCGGCCTCTCATTATCATATCCATAATCAATCCACATTATCATAGGGGAATGTGGATTGGATGTGTGATGTCTTGGTCATGCACACACACAGACACCTAATCACATACCAAAACACAATGACATCCCCTCTCTCTCTCACACACACCCTTCACTCCAAGTTGATTTGAATCATAACAGAAGCTGTCGGAACGGATTGTCTGTTCAGATTAACAGTTTGTTTCTAAGAATTAAGCAGCATTGGTGGTGGTGGCATTTCAGATCCTCACTGTAGACACAAATGCCAAAACATCATTCTGTCACCCCCCCCCCCCCCCCCTTTTTTTTTCACACAGTCGCATGTATGAGCACACACACAGACGCAAACACACTCAGCTAAGACCCTGGGGCACTTTTAATAGAGGCGAAGTGATTCGTATGTTTTTGCTCCTCTAATGAGAACAGATTGAGTGGTATTTACACTTCATCGGCTGATCTAACCACCTACACATTTCCCTCATGCTTCTGCTCCTCGCTGGCCAAAAACAGACATGTGGAGAGGACTGGAGCTTTGCTTTCAAACAGAGACACAACATGAACATCATCCCTGTCTCTTTTGGCTCACAGTGGCACCATGGCAAAAATGACTGAAAAATATGAACTGTTAAAATTAGAGGTTGACCGATATTGGTTTTTCTATTGCCGATACCGATGCCGATGGGCAGGAGACAGTCAGCCGATGGCCGATATGTACTGCTGAGTTTTATGGGCCAATTTCCTTTGCCAGTATCTAGACATTTTCTACCTTATTTACATGATAAAATGTTGCTAATGACATCAATTGATGCACAAAAAACTGAATAAGGTTTTGAACTTTGAATTGAACTAACTACTCCTTAACTTTGTGCACTGCTCAGTGTTAAAGTCAAACACCCAAATAAAGTTAATTTAGAGTATTTATTATGCAGATATTATTATTGAATGTAAAAATACATTTAAATAAAATTCTGCAACAGCACCGAGCAGCCCAAGGATGTGTCCATCTTTAAATAGGCTGTACTAAGGACAGATATCAGCAGATGCCGATGTATAAATAACGATAAATATCGGCCCAATATATCAGCCGAGCCATATATTGATCTACCTCTAGTTAAACAGGAAACAATGGAGCCCAAATTTTGTGCGTCTAAACAGGTGTTTTTTATTTTTGGACAGTTACAACACTGTAAAAAGAAAAAGTTGATCCAACTTAAAAAAATTGCTTCAATCGGTAACAAGCAATTTAATTAAGTTCATCCAACTTAAATCATTAGTACAATTAGAATAATTTAAGTTGGATAAACTTAATTAAATTGCTCGTAACCAATTAAAGCAATTCAATTAGGTTGATTAAACTATTCTCTTTTTTCAGTGAAATGATATTTTGCTTTAAACCAGTCAGTGAAGACTGAAACATGACAATCACAGACACCCAGGGACGTGTCTAATGATGACTATCATGTGATTCAATAGAGATGGTGTTGGGCAAAAGTTGGAGGTTAAAACTTAATCACACTTTACAGAAGCAATCAGAGGAATCGGTGGAGATATAAAACATTAATTAACTCAGTGGAAAGGGAATCTGTGAAGATAGATAGGCCTCCACTGTCTCAGAAACTTAAAGCACTTCAAAGACAGAATACTCCAGCAATTTAGCATTGAACCCCATCAGCAGCAATATAGGATATTAAAGGCAGATAAAAATGAGTGAAGCAAAACCCCCCCCCCCCCTTTAAAAAATTTTTTTTACCATACAGCCTGCATGTTTTTCAAAATAAAACTAACAAAAGTCTAAGATGCAACTCAGGTGTGTCCTGACAAAAAAAAGCAATAGAAAAAAGAAAAATCTGGAATATGAGATGTGGCATTCCAGCATAATTTGATTAAAGTGTGAACTTGTTCATAACTTTATAAAGAGCTTTTGCAGTTGCTCATATTTCTCATTTAAGGGAGTTTATCCAACCGCTGGTAGACCTGTGACCTTCCTGTTGTGAGACAAAGTCACTTCGCCCCACGACTCCACGCAGCCTCTGCGTTCTCCACACTCTGGTTGCTTACAAGATTGTGGATGGATGAGCTAAAATGTAAAATGTAATTAATTTAAGACCTAGCATTCAAGGTTAAAGGCAAATTTCCTAAAGGTGGCATATTACTCATCCGCCTCTTGTTTGTGTCACTGTTGTTAAGTGGGTTCATCATATATCACTGTTAGATGGAGCAACAAGCCCTGCAGAAGCGGCCTCAGAGGTTAAAAATGAGCATTTTGAAACTTAATACGGACCTAAATGTGAGATTTTACAACATTAACCGGCTTGCTTAACGCTTACGGTTTTATCTGTGTGTTTTCTACAGATGGAGGAAGGGAGTCGTGACATTTCTTTTTGGAGAGGAAAAGGCCATACTCAGCAGGAGTTATCAAAGGCAAAAAGTAAAAAGTTCGAGTTAGCTATCTCTCCCTCTGTCTCCCCCCTCTCTCTCTTCCCCTGGAGATACTCATGTTAAGCATAATTAAGCAGATTTGATTAGCATCAAGCCTGGCTTCCTCTCTTGACTTTTAATGAATGTAAATCTACCATCTACATCCTAAAGATTAATTTCTGCCAATTAAAAAACACAAGAGGGCTTATTTGAGAGAGGGAGAGAGAGGGGGGGGGGCTGGGATGGAAAAAAAAGGGTGTTCAAGTCCTTTGAGTTGGAGAACAGTTCGAGTTTTATCCTCTTCCCCCTTGTCTTGTGGTGAGATGGTCTCTAGAGATCCGTGTCTCTCATTCCCCAAAGATCATTATCAACACAATGTTCCGTGAAAGCCACTTTCAAAGGACTGCAAGCTCTGTGTAAATGACAGGAGTGTGACTGTGTTAGTGTTGATGAAGGAGTGGTAGAGCAGGTAAAGAGGTCAGTTAGTCAAAAAAAGAAGAAGCTTATCGTCCCTTAAGGGAGTTCTTGTTGTGTCTTTTAGATTCAATTATGAAAGCAAAATATTACAACAGATTGTAATGAAATGAACACGAAATAAGCGACCCATCTTCTAGGAATTAGGCATCTTTAATGGCAAGATAAAATTAGACTTAGCTGAGATAGCTGTAATTTTTCTTATTTTCATTAGGGGTATTATTGCTTTCATATTAAAATACAAGTCATTTAATAATGATGCAGGCCTTGTTTTTTCTACTCTCTCTGCAAGCCTGTATTAATAACTCTCAAATCACATAAAGGTCAAGCACTAATTGGAAACCAGTGTGCATTTCTTAGCAAATTGAGTAATATCTTGGAGAAAAGCTAATAGGATTTTTTTCTGTAATGAACAAGAATTAGGGAGACCAAAAGTGCGCTTTAAAAGGCACCTGATGAAACTAAATGTGTGTAAACATGGAAACTATTTCCTCACAAGTCATTTTTCTACTTTAAATGAAATGCCAAAAGGATATAGTATGAATATATTTAGGAATCTGAACACCAGAGATTTCCACAAACAAACAAGCCAAGTCCCATCAGTATCAGAGGCGTTATTGTGAAGGTGTCTTTTCATCGCTCCTAAATAAGCTTATCCAAAGTTTATGTAGGCTAATCTTGGCTCTCCCCTCCTCTCCTCAGAGTCCCTCGCCTTGTCTCTCTCTAAGAATACGCTCCTCCTCTTTATGATGATAATGTGACAGTAGCATCTCTGTGAGACAAGCCTCCCCTCATTCTGATTCAATAATGTGATCTGCTTTCCCCCACGCGGACCCTGCTGTCTCATCTCCCTTTCTTTACCCTTCTCTTCTTCACGCCCAATGCGCGTTTCACCCTCACACAAAAGAGTCTCAGCGCGTGCCGCCCGAAGTTACTTTCCTAAATAGTTCTTTGAAGTTTACTTCTCGCGCGCGCGTCTTCATTCGACATGACGACTATGGCAACTCCCGCAGCTCCGACTCTTCTCCCGGCCGCTCCGCTCGGACACCACCCGGCACCGAGCTCCGTCTCTCCAGCCACCAACTCGCCGCCACCTGCGGCCACCTCCGCCGCGTCTTCCCCTGCTCCGCCAGTGGCGCACCCGGCGCTGCTCCAACAGTTCCGGGCGGACCTCTTGCTAGCTAACGGGACACCGTTGAAGAGCGGCGGAGCGCCGGTGTCCAGCGGCGCCAAGCCGGTGTACGCCACCGCGTCGCCTGTTGAGAGCACGCCGCAGAACAACGAGTGCAAACTGGTGGAGGTGAAAGGAGCCAAGCTGGCCTCGTTCACGGTGAAAGGCACAGAGCTCATCTGCTTGCCCCAGGCTTTTGACGTGTTTCTGAAACATCTGGTCGGTGGACTCCACACCGTGTACACCAAGCTGAAACGGCTGGACATTGCCCCGGTGGTGTGCAACGTGGAGCAGGTCCGAGTGCTGCGGGGGCTGGGGGCCATCCAGCCCGGGGTTAACCGGTGCAAGCTGATCTCCAGGCAGGACTTTGAGACGCTCTACAACGACTGTACCAATGCGAGGTGAGTGGGGGAGAGGGGTGGAGGTGGGGGTGACCCGGTTACAGCCGATGGAGGGTGTTCCCCAGCCAGGTGCAGCAGGTGGAGTTAACAGGTTCACAAGACCCCAAACTAGAATTTATAACATCGAATACTCACATTTAGTGTTTGATGTCACACAATTTATGTACAAATCTAGCTATGAACTGTAAATTAGGTCTTGTTTCATTCAATTTGCTAACTTAAAATCTCAAACTCCAGAGAAGAGAAAACAGTAAAAGTGGACGACATAGACCAACTTTAGAAAAAAATGATCTAAAATAAAGAAAAACATATATTTATCATAGAGGTCACACCAGGTTATAGCTGGAGGAGACATTTTCCAGAGCCATAAAACAAGTTGTGCCATCTGTGCCACCATGGACATTTCTTATTTAGAAAATGAAGCCAAGACAAATAGTAACATTTTCTGATTGAATGTTTAAGTAAAAAAAAAAAAAATCCCACAACATTTGAGCTTAATTTGATGATTGTACACCTGGTTAACCCATTTTTACTCTCCACTCCTGCCGCTGGGCCTGTAGCTATTACCATTTTAATGGATGGTAAAGTTGTGATGGTGACTGTGATGAATTTTAGTAATCCCAACTAGAAAAAAAACACTCTTAAAAGTTTGTCATGTTATCATCGCCTATGATCTCTGTCTCACAACACACACACACACACACACACACACACACACACACACACACACACACACACACACACACACACACACACACACACACACACACACACACACACTTTGTCTCCAACACACTCACATTTGCACACATTAAATCTGACACTGTCATTCTGAGAAATTGATTCTTCACAGAAATTAATTAATTTTCATTTGGCCCCAAGCGGCAGCTTAAATCAGGACAAGCTCACTCACTCACTCGTTGATCCCTTTGCTTTCTCTCCTTCTCCCATCCTCCTTGCCTCCCTCTCCCTCCTTAATAACTTGCTGTCTTATCATATCAACACTCTTTAGCCCCGAGCATCAGAACAGAGGAGATGATTAAATGAATTTTCAGTATTTATGATGCGATTATGTAGATGAGCTGTTTTGCAGAACTCCAATGGTGACCAACTACATGGGTCATCAATCCAGAGCGGAGCAGAGATGTTTGGATAAAGGAGCTAAATTGGCTGGGATTTGTGGTTTCCTGGTGCCTCAGTCTGCTGTCGTGCAGACCACATGCTCATAACAGCATGAGTTTGAATCCAGAGGAGTGTGGATTAGCCTTAGTTTTGGGAATTTATATTATTTGATAGTTAATCCGTGCTCCTTGGAGCATGGATGATCCAATTTACACCTGCCATTAACTTTAGATGGAGGATGCATCAAGATGTGCAGAGATAAACACAAGAATGAGGAAGAAAAACAGAATTAGGGAAAGTATCAAATCAATCTTTAGATTTTCTGCATTTATTTGATATATTTGTCTTTATTACCAGAGGAAAGGTTTAAAGACGAGCTTTAACTTGTTGAGCAAACCCATCTCCCCTCAAAAAACCCCCACAATTTTTAGAGTCCTCCTCCAGCTGTGTGGATTAACACCTGCAAGTTAAGCTTTAGCCCTCCAACCAAGACAAAATCCAGATGCATCTTCTGGCTGCTTTGGGATTTGTTCTGTGTCTGGTGTTAATGGGGAACGTTGTTATACAACCCCCCGAAAATACACAGCCTCTGCCGTCTCTAATTATCCACACAACACTCAAACAGCCTTTAGTTAATGAGATCTGAAAACATCACTCATCTGAAATCTTCAAACAAACTCGCCTGATTCTTTGTTTGAGGGCTTCAAATGTGCAGCGGTAGCCATTAGCACCAAGCCCCCCGCATTAGAAGTTTCTAAGTGATCCCTCGTGTGGATGGAGCAACACACGGCAGCAGGTAAAGCGGGACTCAAGATGGTTCTCGTTAAAGGAGGGGGGCTGGCTGGCTGACACGTAAAGTTTCGAGAACATCTTTGAGAATATGATGATGTGGCTGTCTGACATCGTCAAGGCTCACTGAGGTTTTCTGTTACTGATTAGGACAGCCATCACTTATTATTTTTCACTTCAGCATGCAAGCTGGATTAGATATAACAGAGCTGTCTGATTGTTCTACACGACTGACGACACGCTTACAGGAGTCCTGCTCTTTATTCTTTGGTCCTTTTTTTATTCACTGGTTCTTTTTTTAATATTTCAACAGTGATTACAAAAATGTTCTCTGTTTATAATACCGTTTCCCGTTTCCCCCCCGCTGTGCACATGCACACTTTGACCACTGACTCATCAAACCATGAAGACTTCACTCTCACTCCGAGCTTGGTTATAATTCAGGCAAAGGTGGCACGCAAACACACACTCTCCATCGCTGGCCAGTGCGCACAAACTCACACGGTCACGCCTGCGTGTTTGCTGGCTTTGCTGCAAAATGACATTAGTTCCAGAGAGAGAACATGGCGTGTAGGAGGCAACCCGATCCTCCGTCCTTTTCTTTCTCACTCACAAAAGGAACAGTTTCATTCTCTGTTGGTAACACACATCAAACAAGTCGCCCAGGTCAAACCGTGTGCGTGCGGAGTCCAAAGAAAGCAAATCCTCTCGCTTAGAAACATAGAAGTGGTGTAATATGGTGAAGATCTCATTGTTTTTTGCTAAAGAGTGTTGATGAAAATGTGTGTTTCTGCCGTTTTTTTCTCGTCAATCGTTCACACGCAGAACCTGAAAGAAACAGGAAATAGGTGCAACATTTCCTTTAAAGTTTAGTAAGAAATGGATAAAAGTAAGTTTTATTTACCACCTGATATGTTACGTTGGTGGCCCATGGTCAAAATACTTTCATTAAAACATTTTGACTAAAGACAAAAGAATTAGCAGTCGCCTTCATTTTAAGCAACATTTTTCATTGTTGAAAAAGTTACAAAAAGTTACAGAAAACAAAATTCTGAGCCTTTACGCCTTTGGTGGAATGGTTCAGTCCTGGAATCAGGTGTGTGTGTGTGTGTGTGTGTGTGTGTGTGTGTGTGTGAGAGTGTGTGTGTGTTAGAGTGGGGTGGTTAGCTCAACTTTAACCTCTCAGTTCTTTTGATGTTTTATAGAGACGAGCTCAATGAGATACAGCGGGCCCCTCTGTGCTGTCCACTGTGTCAGGTCTTTATGGAAAGTGCACACATACTCCCCCCCCCCCCCCCCCCCCCCAAACCCACATACACACACACACAGTCTTGACATCGTCTTGACCCTGGAATGTGGGAGAGGAATGCACAACAGTATCAGTTTAGGAGATCAGATTTTTTGCCATGATCAAACGTCTGGTACATCTTTGTGTGCAAGTGTGTGTGTGTGTGTGTGTGTGTGTGTGTTGTCCTGCCTGCGTCTTTCATGACATCATCACACAGGCTTTCTTAATAAGCTTTTTTGGGCCTCGATTGGAGAGGAAGATCACAACATCAATCTTTCCCTTGCTCCTCTAACCAGCAACATAAGTCTTCCTGCGAGCAGCGACGACAATATGATTTATCAAACTGGACCGTGACGGCGAATACAAACCCTTGTGATAAACACAGATTGAAAGGATGGGAGCTGTAAACCGCTGCTAATATATTCCAAACTAAATCTTGTATGAGCAAATTCTTGTCCAACCCCCCCCCCCCCCCCCCCCCCCACACACACACACACACACACACAGCTGCTACCTATCACCACTTCGGTCCCTGCAAGCCAGTAGCTGTTCCACTGTTTTGACTGTAACACTTCCTCTTCTTTCATTACTTTTCTTTTTCCTCTCTGTGTGTGTGTGTGTCTGTGTGTGTGTGTGTGTGTGCGCGCGCGAGACGCAAGGCGATCTGTCATCTTTGTTGTGTTTTGTTTCTGTTCCACCTGTGCTAAGCTCCAGCTGCCATGTTTGGCGTTTCATGTTTCAGGTAACACACACCGGTTAAGCTTTGAGGGCAGAACTGGATGTACGGAGATTTCTATAAAAATATGTGTGTGTGTGTGTGTGTGTGTGTGTGTGTGAGAGAGAGAGAGTGTGTGTGTGGCCAGTGTGTTGGCATGAAGGAGGACGTCTGGGTGAGATTTTAATTAAAGTTTGAGACAAAGAGGTCATAAGCCATACACCCCCTCCCCTCTCTCTCTCTCTCTCTCTCTCTCTCTCTACACACACACACACACACACACACACACACACACACACACACACACACACACACACACACACACACACACACACACACACACACACACACACACACACACACAATGAACTGTTTTCTCCCCCCCTCCTCCACCTCATTCCATCCCCTCAGCTTGATGACTTTTCCATGAAAGGCTTTTTCATTAATCCTACCTCAGGGAACCGGTGCTCTCCAACCTCATGTACACACACACGCACGCACTTAGAAACACAACACGCACACACAAAGACCTCCCTCTGTGGGTCACTTTGATGTATCAACGCACTTGCAGACTAAACACAAAATTAGGTTCCAGTTCTTTATGCCCCTTAAAATGCAACATATACAAAGGTGCAGGACCCCCCCCCCCCCCCCCCCCCCCCCACACACACACACACACACACCACCACCACCACCAGCAGCACACACACAGAGGCCATTAATTAGTGAGCGCAAATAAACAGTTGTAAGGGAAAGGGAAGCGGCTGCAGTTAAAACCAACCACATGCTTTGGTTTCTGTGTATTTTATCTCCCCCCGCTGATGTTGTTCACTTCTGCATCCGTGTTTTTTTTTGTTACAACACAAGCCACTGTGCAACAGTGTGACTTGCCTTCAAAACTTGAAACATAAAAATACACGATTTCCTGCTTTTGTTCAGCTCATTGCGCCACTTCTCCGTTCACAGCAACAAATTATTGTGTGTAATCCAAATCCACCTCCACTAAAACAGCACACACATTCGCGACTTTATCCCCCTTGCACCTTCCTTCCGTCCATATATGGGATGTGAATCTGCCTGAGTGTGTTTTTTCTTCTGTATTTACATCCATCTGGGTGTGTTTCTCACTGTGTGTGTGTGTGTGTGTGTGTGTGAGAGAGAGTGTGAGATATCTGATGTCAGCTGTCACATCCCAGTCGTCTGGGCCTATAATAAGAGACAATAATAACAACTCATTAAAACCGAGGGCAGGAACTGTGGAGCTCATCGGCTCATCAAATTAACCTTTGAACACTTCACACACACACAGACACACACGCTACCTGTTTTTCTCCCACAGTTTGTGGCTACACAGTCTTTCTCTCTGTCTTTTTGTGTCTCTTCATCTACCCCCTCTCAGCCAGTGGGTGTGTCAACAGGGGATTGGTCCTTTCTGCTGGGTAATTGATGAATTATATGCAACATGCAAATGAGGCGCCATTAATCTCCTGACTGACAGCTTCGTTTATGGGGCCTTAATGACGGCTGGATTAGATTCTAATTAAAATCTGCTCAAAGACACCCCACGCTAGGAAGCTGCTGCTTCTGGTCTATCTCTCCCTACTTTCCCCCCACTTCTGTACTTTTATTCCCTCTCATACACTTTTCATTTATAAGTCCGTCTTCATCGTTCACTCTTACTTTACTCCTCCTCATCTTTCCCCTTTTTTCCCCCCAACTTTATTGTTGTCTCTATTTCCTCTGCTTGCTGTCACACCTTCTTTGCCTTCCATTCCCTGTCTTTTAACATCACACACACACACTTGCCCACAGACTCATGTAATGTCAAGCCGCTGTGAAAGGAGATGAGGTACGCTGGTTGTCATTAAGCCTGATGTGGCCCGTGTCATTTCCACTGTCAGGACATTCACACCGTTTAGTTAGAGCCAAAGTGATGCCTGACAGCTCTTCGCGCACTTCCTCCAAGGATTGATTTAGCGCGCCCAGCTCTGGGAAATCACACACATGCACAGGCACATGAGAAACTGTGTGTATCTGCTTGTAGTTACAGCCTTTATTGAGGAAATTCGTGACATGGCGGGAAAAGGAGACACGAATGTCCAAACGGGGAGGGGATTGAAGGAGAAGGAGGCAAGCAAATGCATTTAATAAGCAAACAAATGAATGAGTAAGCTGAACAGTAATGAGGTGCTTTATGGATGCCATAGGGAAACTCCTTTTTTGCTTGCTCGTATCCACAGGGAGGTCAAATTTGCTGTACAGCAGCCTTCCTGGAAGTGGTCATGTTTCAGTGTTTTTGCTTGTTGACACCTCAGCACGATTAGAGGTTTATAGACTGAAGGACACTTTTGTCTAACCAGGCCACCCATCTCAGACGCAGCATGGAAAAGTGCCTAATGACTAACGTTAGATTGTGTTTTCTGCCTGCAGTTCGAGGCCCGGACGACCGCCCAAGAGGCTGCAGAGTGTGACAGAGGGCGGGACTCACCACATGCTGTCTCACAGCGGTCTGATGCATGCTGGGATCATGCCTCCTGCAGGTGACCACCCAGGCCTTATCAAGCACATACATGTGCTGCAGAAACAAAATTGCTTAAGTCTGCGAAGAAGGAAAAACTTAGACTCACTCTTCTGGGATCATATAAGATCTAAAATTAGTGCCTTCCAAAAAATAGCAGAATATAAGTGTTTGTTGAACTTTTTGCTTTGGCTTCTGTTTGATTTTGTTTTGCTTTACGTGTCAAAGTAAGACAAAGTATAACAAAGAAGAATCAGCCCACATCTGTTGTCAAAATTTCCTCTGTGGTGACGGATCTGTCAGTGACACATTAGATCTTTCTGTCCAACTACGCAGCGTTTTAGGAAGATGCTATTGGGAGAACATGAAAAAACTAAAGTGTACAGTATTTATTTAAACAAAATGTCTGATAAAAACAAAAATAATGACTTTTAACAATTTTTTAAAAATAACAGTTTTTGTGCAAAACTTATGATCACTCCAAAATATTGTCTATTCCCTATTAATAAACACCTAAATGTTATTTAAGCCTGTACTAAACTTAAATAAATAAATAAAATCTCTAAACCCTAATTATTCTAAAAAGAAATCTAGCAGTGCTAGAATAGAATAGAAACATTATTATTAAACATTATTATTTTGATAAAAATGTTCAATTTATTTTATCCCACAAATTTAACGGCGTTGAAATCTTATAAAGCACTGGGGGAGACCCTGACGCACTCATAGCCGTACTGCGCACTACCTCCAAGTGCACTTCACTGTAGGGCGCAATGCGAGTATTGGGATTGGGCCTTCACCTCGGATTGGATAATAGCAACACAACTCTCCCACTGACTTGTTGATGTTTTATCTCCATAAATAACACAAGCCTGGAGGAGTTTTGTCCTGTGGTGGAGTTGCTAATGCTAACGTTTGGTTTCTACTATACGTTCTTTGCTGTTTCTTGAACGTCAAACCAACAACAGCCTTCCCTGTTGTGTGTCAGTATGGGTGAGTGTATGAATGTTTAGTGACAGTGTGACGTAGATCTATCAGGATTATCAAATCCTAGAATTTCACCATCTATTTTCTGTCAGAAGCTAATGCAGGAGATAGGTGTAGGAGACTATTTTTATGTTCAGCCTGCATGAAAAACTCAGAGTGATCGATTATAATCGGAAATAAGATTTTAAAAAATTGGTTTTTCAGTGTTCCACACCTTTAATAACAATGCTAAATGAACATTTGGGATGAGTGCAATGCTAAATTTAATTAATTTCTTCATATTATCAAAAAACAGATGCATGCATGTTAAATGTAATGAAGCATTACATGTTAAAATCTGAAAATACCACTAAAATCTAATAACTCTTTTTTGAAAAGAAGTGAAAACATTTACGTAAAACTCACTATGTGCGATGCAAATGTTCACCTTTTCCCCCCACAAATTCCTTCCCATTGTCAAAGCGCCATCACTGTAGATAATTGACAGAGGAAATCCCCCTGCTGTCTCTGTGTGCGGTTTTACAGACTGAAATAATATTGCTTCAGAGTTGCAGCAAAGTTGAAAATTACTTCTCATTTTAGCTGTCAGGACATGACAGAAATGATGTTGCAATCAGCTGAGTTGTCCCATCACTTTGAAGAAAGAACCGGCTGTTTTATGCAGAAAGGATACACGATGAGGTTGTTTTTACTACTTATCATGCAGCCCCCTAATCCCCCCCCCCCAGCCTCATAATGGCACAGTTTTACCCATCATCAGTTGTATGAAGAGTTAAAGTTCTGGGTGGTTACTGGTGTGTTGATTAATAAAATTAGCATACACACTGCTGACACATGAGAAACAACTTGCAAGCTTGGTCCTTTTCGTTGACTTAAAAGTACACAAAGTCCTCTCTAGAGTTGAGTAGGCACTCTAATCTGCAGGCTTCTCAAATATAATTATGAATATGCTTAGTGAGTGACAGTAAAACAATATTACAAATGTAGTCTCATCACTTTTTAAATATCTGAAGCCATGGAACAGATTTAAGTAAATAAATCTTAATTTTAAATGTAGCTGGAATTTACTTTGATTGTTCGCAAATGATCACAGTTCTGATATTTAATTTGGCTTGTTTTTATTGTCATGTTTGATCTTTCTTAGAGTGGCTGTTCACATAAGTCTATAATCCAGACAAACACAGTGTTTGTCTGCTGTAGTTGGTGTGTGTGTGTGCGTGTGTGTGTGTGTGTGTGTGTGCGCGCGCACACGCTTGTGTGTGTGTGTGTGTAAAGAACACAGAGAAAGGCAGAAAAAGTAATTGTTGGCACCTCACCGCTCTCAAAGTTGCCCTTGGCTTTGTGCTCGCCACTGAAACCTGATCTTTTCATTCCCCGTCTCAAAAGAAGCCATTTTCTATTAGCCTCTGCTTCCTCTTACTGTTCAAAGGTGCTTGAGTGTGTGTGTGTGCGTGCATTAGTGTGTGTGTTCAAGAGCATCTTTCTCAGTGGGAAAAGAGTCTTTTTCCACCAAAGGAGAGGGCACGGCGGCAATGTCAGCGCCACTGATTAGAACTGGCCACATGAGAGGGGAGAAGGAGACAGAAAGAGCGAGGACATTTGAGCGTAAAAGGCAGGAAAGATCTTTGATGTGATCCTCCTTAGTTGCCTTCCTTGCCTTCATGTGCTCACACACACACACACACACACACACACACACACACACACACACACACACACACACACACACACACACACACACACACACACACACACACACACACACACACACACACACACACACACACACACACACACACACACACACTCGTGCAGCACAGTGGCTTATGTCCTGCTGTGATGCTGACATTTGAAAAGGTAAAGTAAGGGAAGAGAGGAGGAGAAGATGTGAAGAGAAGGAACAATTTGTTGTCGACGTCTTGGGCAGACGAACCCTTCACTTCAGACGCCCATTGTCTGACATAAAAAGAGCACTCGTCGATTAAGTTAGTTCTGAATGTTTCGACGTAACCAAGATTATGAAATTAAGACTTAGAGTTTGTTTGTGTGTCCTCGATTGTGTTTGCTCAGTTGTGCGGTTTGTACCAGCTGTAATCACTCACAGTGTTTGTCTGCATTAGTGCGAGAGATATTCAATTTTCTATTTCCAACGCTGCACTGTGGATCAAAATGATGCTCAGAGGTGCAAGATTTTAATTAAAATGTGTCTCAGCCCCCCTTGCCACATTTTGTCACTGTCCATTACATATTATTCACAAGTGCACAACCTCTATTAAAGCTTAGCTTCACTTCATGTCCCGTCTTTCAAATTTTTTTTGCTCTGATAGCGAAAGGCTTTTGGGGGTTTAAAGGTGGAGCTCACGCTGCTGTAGGGTGTCGACCTGTGTGCCGTGCTGTGGGCTGTGATATCACTGTGTGGGTGAGATGAATGTCTCTGCTTGTTCCTATCACTAGCAGACTAAATGGCCGGTGCAGCGGTGCAGTCAGAATGAATGGCTGGCCTCTGTCTTCCCATGACAACCTCCTGCCTCTAATCCTCCACCGGGGGCCATTGATCTGTCTCTTATTGATTCTTCTTCTATTCCCTCTTCTTTTTTTCACCCTCTTCTCTATATCATTTTCTCTCTCAGATCTCTCCGCCCTGGCCAAAAAGATCAAGCTGGAGGCGATGGCAGGTTACCACAGCAGCCAGCAACACGGAGGGCCAAACGGGGAGAATGGGGACCACAGTACCGGACTGGGTGAGTTTCATCCTGTTTTGTGAAATCCGTGCGTGTAAAACGTATGTAACGTGATTCACATGTGTTTTAGGAAGACATCCGTGACACTGCTTCAATACAACTTGAGCAGCTGTTGAATTGAGATGATTAAAACCAGGATGTGACATCACCTCCGCTGCCTGTTTGTTTCCTTTGAAAGGCGGGAAATGAGAGCGAAATACAGCCACAATGAGCCAGCGCCACTAATAAAATTGGTAATCAGGACATCTGGGGAAGCTAGCCCAAACAATCAAAACATAAAAAAACAAGTTCTTTTTTTCCTGCATGTTTTTTTTTACTCCCAGTTTTATTGCAGATCAGAAAGATTCACAAAACCTTTCCGGAAAACACAAACGGTCTGTAACCTCCTTCATGCTTACTCATCACACTGGGAAGGACTTTCCTTAAATTTACAAACATAGATCTTTTGTTTTTAACATAAACGGACACTATTGATTATGAGAATGATGATTGTGTATTAATGGGGAAAACTTTGCTTATTAACTTTATAGGAATGGTGTGATGACCCCTTTGCACAAGCATCATATTCTTTATGTTCTGTCAGACAATTTTACATTGAATACATCTGCAACAGGCCCATATTACCTACATTATTAGCTACATTAAACCAAGTTATGATAATGATCGAAGTCTGCCCTTTTCCAGCTGGATTATCTTAATTATGGATCAGCCAGTTCTACACTCTCAAATGCATCGTTTACAAACGGGAAAAACAAACTGACACTTCTCCCAGTCCGTGAACTCATTACAGGTAAACACTGGGGTGTAAGTAACTAGCTTTATCATTATATGAAATTGTATTGATACTGTGGATTTTCGTTCAATATTCGCCAATATGTCATATATCAGCCACCATTTCAAGTTGATTCCATTTAGGATCCACTGATTGATTAGCCAGGCAAGCTGTCCTGTACATGTAAAAGTAACTCTGGCCACGACCCATAGACAGAGTTCAGTTGTGAGGTGGAATCTACTGTTGTCTTTCAAACTGTCACCGCATGCTATTGTACAGCAAACAATGTTATAGGATCACCACTATGGCTGTCAATCAATTGGGCAGTCCACCATACACTGTTGAAGAAGACACAAATGCATCCTTTAAAAAAAAAACCTTGTAAAAGCAAGTCACCTCCAAATCAACTTTTTTTGCTGATAAACAATTTAAACGAGTGTCTAATTGTGCTCTAGACAAGTGTAGTCGATAATTTGGCACTTTAGTGCATCTTAGTTCAAATTTAAATACCGTAAATCCTCTAATACAGGCCTGGGTCTGTATTTGACTCAAGCTCATCAAGCTCCAGGCCTTTATTGGAAGGAGGACCAGAATTAGAGGCAGGCCTCAATTTCTATTTGAGCAAAATGAACTAATGGTTCGCTGGAGTTTTTGACAATTAAAATTGCGCCCACATTTTCAAAGTTAAACACAATTCTTTAACAACGGTAGTTTCTGCTTCAGCCCTCTCCCCCCTCCCCCTGCGCAGCGGCCGCCAACTCACTGATGCGCCTGCAGCCTCTCGGAGTTCCTGCTGCTCTAAACATTAAAATAATTATTTCATTTTCTGTTCCTCACTTCTGATTACCTTCAATGGTGTCTGTTTGTTGCAACCACCAGGTACAAAAACTAACTTGTTTTTATTTGACTATTTTTCTGTCCTGTCTGTTTATTATCTTCCTGCATCTCCTCTCAATCCTAAAGAAAAACTGCTACCTGGGTTCATTTATATTCACCTTATGAGTTACCTTTGAACTGCAGTTCTAAAAGATCTACCGACCGCAAAAACAGCGGAGTGCTCGCTGGCCACATCAGTTAGGTGCGTCACCGAGGACAAAACAGGTGATGCGCCCCAATCCACAGCAGCGAAACGCATCAGGCACAAATAAAAGAATAAAAAACCAAAAAACATAAAAGGAAATGAGCCGACACGAACGATCGCCTGTTAAATTGGTTTTTGAGGTGGCGACACCTGATTTGATAATGTTACTGTGGCCGTGCTCAGGACGCAGATGTCTGGAGCGCGTCAACAATCAGAGCTTTGCATGCGCACGCTGGTTAAGGTTAGGATGGGGGTGAGGGGAAGGTTAAATTGCAAGAGGGTAAATGTCACAAATTAAGTTAAATGTCCGTTTTACGGCGGGCGTCAGTACCGACGCTCTGGCACAGCGCGTTGCCTCCCGACGCGCAGGAGCTTGTCACCTGCTGACAGCAGGCTGCTGTCTTTTCCGTGGACTGCATCTTGCCGGTCATTATCACGTGACAGCGACTAGTCGATGACAGGCATAACAAGTCACTATAGAGCGGTGAAGTCGACTAGTGACTAGTTCATACAACCCCTATTGCTCCCCAGAGTGTTCTGCAGCATAATCAGCACGTTCTCTTTGAACTTGATATCAAATTTTCGCCTCGTCTTCGTCTCCGCGCGGTTAAAGTTACCCTCGCGGTCTATCACTGGCAAATCAAAAGTGAGACGGAAGACACAACCGCCCCCCGTACTTGCTTGTTACCACATTCCACCCGGCCACAATAAAAAACAGGCCATTATTCACCTCCGCCGACTCCGACCAAAATATGATACCCGGCAGTTAATTAAATACAGGCTAATATTAGAGGATTTACGGTATTCTGCCTAAAACTGTGAGTGTTGCACCCTCTTCAGGTAAAAACTCTGCACTACATTTGAATATAAATTTGCCATCGCTATTGGCTATGAAGTACCTTATGATGTTAGTTGGTATCATATGATGTCACAATGCCGCTGTGAGCCTGTGTGTATGTATTTGTTAGCGGCTCTGCCCTCTTGATCTGCCAGGCAACAGCATTTGTTGCATTTTTCAAACATGTGGGAGTGGAGTTAGACTGTAGGTGGTGACTTGCTCTTTATGTACCTCTATCTGCTCTTGACTCAATGAAACCCCAAGTCTAACTAGTTCAAAATTGATGCTGCAGGTGCTTTAAACAAGCTGTCGCCGTCTTAGATGTTCCGCTTTGTTGCATCATTCCACCCGCCAAACCATCAGAGCGCTGTGATTGGCAAGACACAAAACTGTTCAAGCCTGCAGAGGTTCCAATGAAGAGTGGTTAGACTAACAGGCAGAGCAAAATCATTTTGCTTCGGCTACTGTCTGTCTAGATTTCTGGGCTACTGATCGATATGAAACGGTATTACAGGATTTAATCCAATCAATTTAAATGAATAATATCTTCTTATAACAAAGACTGAAGTCAAAATTAACCCTTTGATGCATAATGGTCACTAGAGTGGACAGGTACTCAAAATTGTTATTTATTTGTTTTTGTTATTAAGCACAACTGTTGAAGACTTTATTGCATTTGAGACCTTCCGTTTGGACTTCAGTAAGCCAAGCCAACATATTTCATGTTTAGAATGCATGCTGCCCACTGAAGTGCACATGTAATAAATTATTTGTAAATTATGAAATTTACAAAAAATATTTGTTGAAATTTGTTTCATTCACACCTAAAGACAAATGAAAAAAATTGTAAAAAAAATCATGGTTGATGATTTCATAATTCATGCATCAAAGGGTTAAGCAAATTTCTGAATCAAAACATGTTTCATAAATAGTTCTTATAGATTTTTGCATTTTGGTTCAACGCTATTGGCTCTTTGACCATAGGTAATCAATGTATGTATGTATCGAAGTACACTCCTAGTCAGCGCTAATTTGCGTTAGCAGAATCATAATTAAATAAAGGTAACCAGAAAAAGAAAGTCCTCCGTTAATTGTAGTTTTATTAGATTAAGACTCGGTAATTGCTTTCAAAACCAGAACAAGTATGTCTAATTAAAGATTAATAAATATACCACTACACATTTGTGTACTGTCCACATAACCAATCAATGAATTCTCTTTAGTTGTGTGAATTTTAAAATTAAACATTACTGTCCTTAAGAAAATGAGCAAACTGTAAAGTCTGTAAAGGCTTTTAAAGACACATTGCAGATTAAAGTGGCACTGTATAGTTTCCTGGCACTAGAGGGCAGTACAAACATTTCAGGGTAGTTTTGCACCACATTGCCGTGACTGTCGCTAGTTTAAAAAACATTACGGTAAATGTTGTTACCTGTGGAGCAAAAAGCATGCAAACCCGGCATGACTCTTCATACTTTGTCCCTCTGTTAATTCCATCAAAAGCATACAATGCCAATGCTAGTTTTCTGGTGCTCAAGTTTTCGGATCTGCTCGAGGTCCTGCGCCTGGCGATGATGTCATCATACTACGGCAATTACACTCGGCCAAAATATGTTACATCTCTTTCATTTCTGTTCTTTCACATAGGATTTGGAAAGTTGAGCAGTTTTGTTATTAAATTCATGTTTCTTTCTACCTAAATGTTTTCAAACATGGTAATGTAACTTCCATAAGCTGTATGTCCAGCAAAGCATCTAGTGTTACGTCATAGACAGGAGCAGTGCCTCAAGCCTGGCAGAAGGAAACGTGGTGTCTAATATGGCCCTATGTACTTGAAACCTGATTTTTATGGTTATACAGTACAAAGCCACCAATATTGTTCAATGACTGGACGTCTATTTATTGATTTTCAACAAAGTTTCGATCGGTGTTAATTTTGACAAGAAATTTTAATTTAGTTTAATGGGCTCGACACACGGGAGGCGACAAACAACCGCGATCAGCGAAATTTGTCGCTGTCGCTTTTATTACCCGACACACGGGAGGCGATCCGCAGCAGCGGCAAAGCCGTCTACGCGTTCTGTTCCATGGCGAAATCGAAACTTCCGTTGTTTTGTTTGGCTGTGTCAGTTTGGAGGGAATTAAGGTTATTTAAGCGGTTCAGAGTTAAAGTGGTAGATATGATGTTTCACAAGGTGCTGCTAGAGTTATGTGAAATCTTACTTCTGATTTTACTATATAAAACATAATAATAATCAACTTCTCCTTAATGTTTGCTCTGAGGTGTACGGAGCATCCTGTCCGCTCATTGGTCAGTGAATGAAACCTCCGTTGATTGGTCCCCGTCCGAGCGACAGCGATGAAAAGTTGAAAATGTTTCAACTTTCTGGGATCACATCGCTGGGTCGCCTGTGCACGACACGTGCACAAGCGCAAAATTTCACACGCACGTTTTTCGCGTTTCGCTTGGTAGGAGAGAGACCCGCGATTATCGCTTTGTCGCGCATGTCTCATTGAAAATGAATGGAGGAGAGGCGATGTCGCCTCCCGTGTGTCAAGCCCATAAGTCTCAGTCTTTTGACTAAAACTCTCTAACTTTAGTTACAATTTAGTCATCCAATTTGATTTAGTTTTAGTCTTGTTTTAGTCAACTAAAATACATATGTATTTTTTCTGATGTAAAGGAAATGGTCACTAAACTTCGGATCAGTCAAACTCTATATTTATAACTCACCAAGCAAATACTTTTCAGACTTACATCTACTGATTTTGCACCCAGCCACGGACATTTTCTCCCCGTAGACATAACTTTTAACGGCATAAACATCAGTATATGACGTCTGGTTAGCGGTAGCTTGTTCAAACAGCGGCTGGCTCCAGATTCTGACTGGTTCTCTTCTTGTCTAGTCCCACCTGTTCCATTTGCTGATTGGTTCTTTTTTCCAGTCTCCCATCTTTTCCGTTTTCTGATCCGTTTCTGCCAATTTTCGTTGTCGTCTCTTATTTGTCAAGAAAAGTGTCGATCAGTATTTGTCATAATTTAGTCTTTACTGGCGTATATGTTTTGGTTTTCATTTTGTTTTAGTCCGAAAATGAATTCATCACGAAAAAAGAAAAAGAAAATATTTAGTCAAAGAAATTAACACTGATTTTGATGGATATTTCCAGAGATTAACGGTAAAAATAACACATTGTCACTTTAAACATTTCTAATTGAAATCCAGATGTTAGCAGGTGTTAATGGTATTTTTCACTGGTGTAAAACAGCCTTTACATTTGATACATACAAACAACTTTTTATTTTGTAGTGGATGTTTGATAGTTCTATCTTATAAAATAAAATCTATTCAGAAGTTAAAACAGCATTAGGTCTCATTTACAACTTTACCATTTTATCCCTCGTTTACAGAAACAGTCGAATTTCAAATGGATCTCTTCTGCTGCTCATTATGGTTGACTGATTTTAATGATTTAACCAGTCTTGTTTGAAGACGTGTTAATGCCACAAACCAAAATGTGTTTGTCAATAAAGTTGTTTTAATTATTAAAGAAGCTCTTAGTGCCACAACTGCTGCAGGAAGTTAACTTACTGCTCCTGCTCTCCTCTTTCCAAAGAAAGAGAAAAGTCAAAAATTAGTGGACAACATTCAGCTCACTGGGATGATGGAGATGAATAAGATGAGAGGCTGAAGCTAAATCAATAGTCTTCTCTCTAATTCACTACACTGAATGCAAACGACAAACGACGAACAATCAATGATGGGACGGACACGTGCACCAACACACACACACACACACACACACACACACACACACACACACACACACACACACACACACACACACACACACACACACACACACACACACACACACACACACACACATGCACACAAACACACACACATGCACACAAACATATCAGGTGCACCGCCCCCAATGTTATCGACTGGTTAAAGCAACATCAGTGTGTTTGGACAGATGACAGGGCTTACAGAGGTCTGGGAGGAATACACTATCAACCTGGGACACACACACTTAATATGTGGAGCACACTGCAAAGGCTGTGAGACAGAAATTGAAAATTGTCCTTGCCCTTTTTATTCTTTATTTAGAAATCACAAGGAGACACACGTGAAGAAGTCTGTTTGGAAGTGTTTTCCTCTCTGCTCATGTGGGTAAACACCAGCAGCATTAAGCATTGTTTACCACTGTATACAGTCGGTTACGACTTCCAGCATCTGTGTGCATTTAGGTGGCTTGGTTACCACCAACCATTATAAACCTGTAAAGCTTAATCACCGTTAATGATAGAGTCAAGTGGAAACACACACAAACACAGCACAGGCATACAATGCATGCACATAATACACACAGTTACCTTTTTTTTTTTTTCCGTACCGCCACCCACAGCCTTATGGGAAGGATAGGCCCCTGCCCGAGCTTCAACCACTACAAAGGCGCTCTCAGATTACACACACGCACACTCTCACAAATGCTGAGTGTGACACCTTATGGGCTGTAAGAAGAGCAGAGAGAAGCCATTTCTGCATTTAACAAGATCTTCTGGGAAATTTACAGTAACTGTTTGTTTACAGTAATGGTTTGTTTGGATAAACATAAGAGAGGCACTCCGACTTTTGATGTTTTCTAATGAAACATAAGAGAAAGTGATGGGAAGGCAGAGAAAGTGAAGAGAGGGTGAAAATGTAAAAAAAAAAAAAAGAAGGATAGAAGAGGGACAGATTGAGAGGGGAAATGAGATTACAGAGGGAGGCGGGGTTGGACGTAGGGGCAAAAGTGAGCACGGCTCTCCAAACCAAAGCTTAATATTTGGCTGCAAGTATATTGTCGGAGCATCTGGTTATTCAGCTCCATTCAGACACATCTTTTGTTTGAATTAGTTTCTGTTCTGGGCAAGTGACAGACTAATCTGCCAAAATGCACAAAGCGCTGCACATATGTCCAGCGAGCCCGACTCATAAAGTCAACTCCTCATCCTTTATTTCTTAGTTTGCCTTTTCTTTCCCTCTTTTTCACATTTCTTTCCCTTTTGTTCTCACTCCCTCTTTATTTGTTTCATGTCTCTTCTATGGATCAACTTCTTTTTTGCCTCTTCTAGTTCCATTATTTGTGACAATTGTGCGGAATGGAGTCCAAGATTTCTCCCTTTGTGTTTATAATTACCCAGCGTGCATTGCTGGCCTGGCACCAAGACTGCCATCAGCTTCTTTTGTTCCATTTCCTCCCTGTGTTTCTTTTGTTTTTGTTTTGTCTTTTATTAAATGATAAATATTTATGTCATTTTCTCCCCCCCTCCTCCTCAACAGGATTGTTTGTTTCATTAATTGAAGGACTGCAACAACCCGCTGGGGTGCTGTTGAGAGGAAGGATTTTCTTCATAGATGGTGGATGCTTGTCCTAAATAGGGGAGTGTGAACAGCAGATTGGATTGGATAATAAGAGTTGGTGTTGGATTATCATGAAGACCGCTGGGGCAGTGAAAGAATAAACTTTCTTTTAATTCCAGAGTGGATGAATTTGTAGCTTTGCAGGGGGACGCTCTTTATGTCTTCAAATGTGACATTTGTCCCGTTCCGCTTCCACTTGGCCACGACTTTCCTTATTCCTTCTCACGCAAGCATTTTTAAGTTCTGGTTTAGAAGCAACCATTAAAGCAGATGATCAGATTACCTGAAACCTTTTCTGGTTTTTAAGTTTGTCATACCGTAATAATCAGTTGCAAATATGTTAGAATAGACATTTTAACAATAACAGAACTAACTCTTAGATCCTTTCTTTCCACTTTTATTCTTCTTCAGTTCTGGATCAGTTGCCCTTCATGATGATGTCACATCCTCTGATTCCTGCCAGCCTGGCGCCGGCCTCCGTTTCCATGGCGATGGGCCAAATGAACCGACTGAGCACGCTGGCCAGCATGGCCAACGTGGCTCAGCTTCACGCCAACCCACCTGCCAGGGCTCCCACCTCCGTCATTAAGGTGAACTCAGAGGTCCATCAGTCAGTAATCATCTAAGTCTGTGAAAATAGCAACCCTGAAAACATTTCAGTGTGGAATTTTAACTTTTGTTTTTATTATAACCAGAGTAGAAACTACAACTTTCTTAATAAAGTTGGTCTAAAACACTTTTTTTTAAGTCTCTGGTTTCACTAATACTAAATTAAATACATTTTTCAGATGATTATCCAAAAAAAGCAGGACTCCATCATCACAGTCTTATTAGATCTTGTTCTCATCAGAAACAGAAAACTGCTTGTGTGGTCATAAATGGTAACAATGCAGATTATTGTTTCAGTGACCATTCACTGAACCCCTGTGAATATTGGAAAATGTTTTTAAACCTTTGCAGATAAATCCTTTTACTGATTGGTTGACTTAGTTGAGCATTTATCCTTTAAAGTAACTGCAAGCACGTTAGACTTTTTTCTATCATTGTTTACTTTTCTTTTTTTTTTTAATTTTTTGTCACTAATTTTGAGGTCAGATTTGATCAGGATATTGTGTCTCACTCCATCCATCCATCCATTTTCATCCGCTTATCCGGAGTCGGGTCGCGGGGGCAGTAGCCTAAGGCCCAGACTTCCCTCTCCCCAGCCACTTGGGCCAGCTCCTCCGGGGAGAATCCCAAGGCGTTCCCTGGCCAGGTGAGAGACATAGTCCCTCCACCGTGTTCTGGGTCTACCTTTAGGTTTCCTCCCGGTTGGACGTGCCCAGAAAACCTCACCAGGGAGTCGTCCAGGAGGCATCCTGACCAGATGCCCGAGCCACCTCAACTGGCTCCTCTCGATGTGGAGGAGCAGCGGGTCTAACCCGAGCCCCTCCTGAATGACCGAACTTCTCACCCTATCTCTAAGGGAGAGCCCAGCCACTCTTCGGAGAAAACTCATTTTGGCTGCTTGTATCCGCGTTCTCATTATTTCGGTCACTACCCAAAGCTCATGACCATAGGTGAGGGTAGGAACATAGATCGACCGGTAAATCGAGAGCTTCTCCTTCTGACTCAGCTCTCTCTTCACCATGACAGACCGGTACAACGCCCGCATCACTGCAGATGCAGCGCCAATCCGCCTATCGATCTCACGCTCCAGTTTTCCCTCACTCGTGAACAAGACCCCGAGATATTTAAACTCCTCCACTTGGGGCAGGACCTCATCCCTGACCCGGAGAAGGCATTCTACCCTTGTCCGAATCAAGACCATGGTCTCAGATTTAGACGAGCTGATTCTCATCCCAGCTGCTTTACACTAATAATTATTATTGACTATTCTGTTCTCATTCTTAGGAGCGAGTGCAGGACACCCCCTCTCCTTCACCCTCATTGGAGGAAGCTCAGATGTCATCCAATCACAGCAGCAGCGTGTCAAGTTCACCTTTGCCTACAGAGCGCACCGCAGAAACCACACGTATGTACTCACCTGTGTGGCACTGAAAGGTGCCGTGCACTCGAAGGATGTTTGGGCGTCACATCGAAAAAGTTGTGAGGAATTTAAAACTCTTTTTTTTTATCTACAGATCATGACGCCCTCTCGTCGAGTCACGGTGTGTTGGGGCACTGTCCTGGCATGGTGCAGGGTCCCAGAGAGACAGACGGGACGTCGGCAGAATACAATAAGGAGAACAAGAGGAGCCACTCTGACAAGGGTAAGACTCAGAGTCTCCTGCAGTTCTTCGAAAACTGAAAAGGACATGTTTTAGGTGTCTTCTTTCTCAGCAGGCATTGATTGATTGACAGTTCAGCTCATGTCAAAGGTCAAATCTCTGAAGTTTTCTGATGAATTCTTATAATCAATCCTTTATTAATAAACAGGAGTAATGATGACTTCTTGGAAAAATCTGTAGTCTTTTTGAAAGGATCGTACACCTGTGAGTTTCCTACTGCCTTTCAGTTTAACAACAAATAAATATCAGCCCCTCTTTTCCTTCTCCACACCTCCTCACCGTCAGTCCAGTCCCGTCCCCCACCCCCACCCCCGGCTTCCCGTGGTGAGCAAAGACAAATAATTCTGCAAAACAGGACTCCATTAGACCAGAAAGCGATGTTACATTAGTGAGCCATTTGCCGGGCTGGGGCCTAACGAGCCGGGCGGCCTCCCCGCGCTCTCAGCTGGACCTCATCTACATAACGACCGCCTCTCTGTCGTTAGGGCCTGCGTTGCCACGGCGCTGCAACGTCAGTTGTTTGGTTCTCTCTGTCAGGGAGGTTTGCATTAGCTTAATGAGGACTGCTCAAGGACAAACAGTCAGCAGAAATTTACAGCGAGGGAGACGGAGTGTTGTTTGTTTGTGGATTTTTTTTCTTTTTATATTTATAAATAGGTGCCCACGTGCCTGTATAGACGTATTCTAATACGGAATCATATTATTCAGTAATCAAATCTAAAAATCACAATAGCTTCCCAGGTGAGTTTTCAGATGCTGTCGGGTTTCTGCAAACATATTGACTAAACAGTGATGGCACCAACGACGTGAATGCCATGCATCACACATCTCATTTATGCGATTGATTTACAATTGATTTTCTTTTTTCTGCATGCAAATGAGCCACATGCACATTTGCAGGATTGCAAGCTTTTGTATTTGACCTAGAACATCACAGGATAGGTTTACCGTGGATTGAACAGAGTTTCAAAGAGCGCTGTCATTCTGTCAATCCATTGTATAATAATCTGTGTGTGTGCGTGTGTGTGTGCGTGTGTGTGTGTGTGTGTGTGTGAGACAGTTTTGGCTGTGTGCGCCGTTTCACTGGTCTTTGAACAACGCATCCATCCAGCAGAGATCAGAGGCCATCCCTGACACTTCACTCCCATTAACCAAACATCAGCAGAATTTTAGTCTCTCTCTGTCTCTTTCTTTCTCTCCTGCCTTGCTTTTCCGTTCTCTTCCGCTGACTGGCAGTCTTCACGTTGTGAAGTTCATTAGCCCTGGGGAGAGGTGCAAGAGGAATAGGAGAGGTGTGTGTGTGTGTGTGTGTGTGTGTGTGTGTGTGTGTGTGTGTGTGTGTGTGTGTGTGTGTGTGTGTGTGTGTGGAGGGGGGTGATGAACTTGGGAGAAAAGAGAAAAACAGACAATGACCTTGGTTAGGGAGATGGGTAAATGATCAAACAAGCTGGCAGCTGTACGTGTGTGTGTGTGTATTTATCCCAAACGGTGTGTGTGTGTGTGTGTGTGTGTGTGTGTGTGTGTGTGTGTGTGTGTGTGTGTGTGTTAGAGAGTGGGAGAGAGAGGTAAAGTAGGCGTAAAACAGTAACTCAATAAAGGATCAGTCACATCCAAGGAGCCTAGGGAGCCCACGCTGCTGACTCTGCACTTTGGCGTCTACAAACGCGCGCGTGTGTGTGTGTGTGTGTGTGCGCGAGTCTGTATGTGAGCCACAGGAGTGTAGTTGGATGCCCTCCGCTGAGCTCGCCAGCACCTGCTAATTACCTTTCTCTACAGAGCAATGCTTTTAGCAAGAAATAGGGGGGAAAGGGGGAGGCGGAGGGGGAGGCGGGGGGGTGAGTATTGCTTCTCATATGTGAAACACCTTGAACGTGACAGTTGCCAAAACGTGAGACCGAGGCAGAGCAGGGGAGGTGGGTGGATCTGGAGCTGAAGATGCTGTGGTCAGCTAAGTAGAGAAAACACCCTCATTTGTCACAGACGGAGAAAAGTGCCAGATATCACGTCGCACGCTCGCACTCATCCCTGCTCCAGTAACTGCCGGACTCCCAGGACGTCTCCGTCCTCAGCGGCTCGGATGACAGTACAACTACCTGGAAGAAGGAAGGAAGATGAAGAAAAAGAAACAGCTCATCTTCATCTCCCTCACTGTCACCAACGGGGAGCGTGCAGTTCTCAGGTTTACAAACAGATGGTCGTTCATAACGCAGGTTCTTAGCTGCTTTTATGGGATATGTCAAGCTGTGGTGCATTATCATTCGGCAGTCTGCCATCCAATAAAGGGCAGCCACATTTTAAAACCAGAACTTTTTTGTGTGGACGAACTCGTGTGCAGTGATTAGCCATCATTTGTTCTGCATGTTTATGAGAAATTAAAAAAGAGCTTGAGCAAAAGATCATACAAGATCTGTTTGCAACACTTATTATTACAATGAAGGAGCTTACAGAAGGAGCTGTTTTCAAACATTTCATCAAGCCACTGTTCAAAGATCAGGGGGTAAAAAATAGATTTGAATGTGAATTTTTTCTTTTTTTGAGAGAGTCAGCAGAGGTGGAGCAGAGCTCAGACGTTCCTCACTTCAGACGGTCTTTCTGCCCTCCAGATAACAGCTCCTCCGCTGCTCCGACTACCAGAGAGAGCAGCAATAGGCACGTCTACCAGAAAGCCCCGTCAAGCAGGGAGATCAGCGAGAGGGTGTCTTACCCCACGGGACAGAAGCTCCCAGCAGGTCTCCACCACACTCCCTTCATCTTCCCGGAAGGCCTGTCCTCCATAGAGACCCTGCTCACAAACATCCAGGTGAGGCTCTGCCGGGGCTTTGTTAGCATCACGCTCTGAGATGAATAGGAAGAGAGACGAGACGCTCTCTGGGATTTCCTGGAATGGTAAATAGCAGACGAGGGGCAGACATTTAGGAAATGGGGTGATTGGGTTTGGGCGTGCGCTGACCTGCTTCTCAGATTTTACATGTCTTTGTTGCAGTGGAGTCACAACAAAAGTCCTCTCCTTCGGTTTTTCACAACAGGGAAAATGAACTCCACCTGACCCTGATTTGTTGGCAGCTTCACCTTTAACTTATGTTTTTGAATTAATTCACCTGTTTCTTTTACATAATTGACAATAAAAAAAAAAAACTAAACCCCCGTAAATCCAGACTGCTCGGTGTGTTAACCTGTTGATCTGCGTCTGTGTGTCTCCAAGCAGGGTCTGCTGAGGGTTGCCATAGAGAATGCCCGGGCGCAGGAGAAGCAGGACCAGCTGGAGAGGACGGAGCTGAAGATGGAGCTCGTCCGAGAACGGGAGCTCAGGGAGACCCTGGAGAGGCAGCTGAGCATGGAGCAGAAAAACAGAGGTGGGCCGGATAAGCCTCGGCGCTAACTCTTAAGTGTTGCTGGTGGTTGTGTTTGAGTTGATTGAAGTGCTGCGTCTCATAGCTCCTACTCTGCACATCCAGACACAGAAGGTTCTGCTGCACGGCCAAACAAGGTTTGTTTAATCCACTTCTCAGCTGACAGGGTGTCCATTAAGTTGAAAATCAGATAAGGAAGTGAGGACACCTACAGTATATTACCCCTGAAAGCAGCTGCAGAGGTGAATTAGACTGATGTTGGCAGTATACAACAAAATAAATCAAGTTTGGCAAGTTCACAAAAGCTGTCATCCGCAGCGCCGACTGAGCAAAGTCCAGTCAAGGACGTGTGGTTTGTTAGGGTCACGCCGGGTGGAGAAATGAGTGAGCTCACGAACCACTCTCGTGATGCTGCACACCATTCATATGTAAATATGTTTATTTTTCTGACGTCCTTTCTCATCTGTTTATTTTTTCAGTTCTGATCCAGAAACGCCTGAAGAAAGAAAAGAGGAGTAAGAGGAAACTGCAGGAGGCGTTAGAGGAGGAGGTCAAACTTCGTGATCAGGCGGAGCACAGCCTGCTGCACACCGCCAGCACGCACGTAGGTACGGAAACGCAAACTCCTTCAAACCATCTCTCTGTTCTGAGTCAAACCGGTCTTAGTCACTGCACTGATTCTTATTTTCATATTAAATGTCACCAAGCTTTCAGTGTAACTTAGCCTTGAGTGCTCATTAGCCTCTAATTAAGTGTCTTTATTAATTAATGACCAAACTACAGGCCATCAATCAATGGCAGCGACTCCTCACGCAGAATCTGTGACCCAGGATGCGGAGGGGAGCGGCTGCGACGACAACAGGCTGGACACCAAGGCGATGCAAGGTACAGCTGTCTGGCTAACAAACACGCTGCCTCGGGGCGCAGCTGAGAAAACACACTCATATTTTAAGTCTAGTCCTGAGTTCAGGAGCAGAAAAGCTGTCACAGTTTAAATAATCTGTCAGCAGATTACGGCCTCATTACAGAATCGGACTGTTTGTGTTATGATTAGAATGAAGCGTTAAAAACCCCAGACGCTGTAGGAATGGTGCTATTTCTGCTAGCTGGTTCATCTGTTGACCGAGCGGACAACAGATTTTATTATTTCACCTACTCGCTGCTCGTGATGCTTAACAGACCACTCTACTGGAACGGTTGGAAAGATTTCACAGCGAGACGGCCTGCGTCAGATTGAGCAAAATGAAACGAAGCATGTGACAGTTCACTGTGGGGGCCACCGTTTTAATGGAAACGGGCGTTTTAATAGATTTGTTTAGCCGGAGTTATTGTCTTCGCAGGGATGAGACGTTGAGGGAAAAAATAAAAATGCAACATCATAAATGGACAGGAAGAGGAGCGGCCTCATCAAAGGAGTGCATCGTTTCTGCCCACCTCTGCTCTGCGCTGCGCCAAGACCGCCAAAACAGACAGCGCCGCTTGTTCAAAAGCAATTTTTAATTGAATGTCAGTGAAGCAAGAAGAGAACTGGCCACTAATTAATGGCTGTCTTAATTGTCCTCATGACGAGTTTGTTTGGACATCATTTGCATAATTAACACCCAGTAATAAATCATTTAAAAGGGGAATTGTCTGTCAGACAGCAGGGCAGGATGTGGTCCCTTTGTGCCAGGGAGTTTTATCACCAAAAAAAAAAGGCTTTGAACTCCGTAAAGCTTCTTTGTTAATCGTCTCTGATCACTGATGTGTGGGAGTTTCATTAGTTAACAAACCTTCAATCATCTGATTTTAATCTCAATATTTTCTTAGTGGTTTTAGATAATCGTGTCACTTTGGGGTGTTTCAGAGGGCAGGATGTTCCTGCAGACCAGTGGGATGTACTGAGGTCCACGCTGGAAGGACGAATGAGAGAATGGATGGATGGATGGGAGAACGGTGTGATGAAGAGTCCTCCCTTGTGACAAAAACAATCGACTGGCATGCTCGCTCCTGCAGTGGCATCAGAGGCACAAATCTCCTCCTCCCCCACATTTCAAGGGCGACACCTGAACTTTCTTGTTGCTCTCTTGTTTAATTTATTGAATTTGTCATCAAACCTCAGCCGTAGTGGGAAGAGCACTTTGTTCTGTTGCTGTGTTTGAATGTGTTTCTTTCAATCCAGCCTTGTAGGTCCTAGATTATAATGACCATTGTTGCTCTTTTACTTTTGATTTCTTCATTTTTACTTTGTCAGTGCTGTTTTACTTTTATTTGTATTTTTTTGGGCTCGAGTGATGAATCTAATCTGTTACAGAGTTGTGTACATATGCATAGTCATCATTTTTATTAATTATAGTATTATTATTATTATTATGACAACCATAGAGGCATGTTGTACAGTCAGTACGTGACCTGTATTGTGTATGTTAGTGCAGTTTGACAATACAAACAATACAAATACTTTTTATTAAACCGTGTCCTTGCTTCTTTCCTCGTTGTAGCTTATTTACAATTATAGCAAACATAAATCCAGCGTGGTGGTTTTATGTTATTGTGATGGAAAACAAGATCTGTGTGATCCAGATGGAGCAAATGATCCGGTATCGATTACCTCTGCATCTCCAAAAACACACACGTAGGTATTGACAGGGAGACAGGAAGGTGGCCAGCAGGGTCACATTTAAGCCGTCTGTCGGTGAAAAATGTTGACGATGCATTCTGTCGGTGGCTGCTCTTTTTCTTTTTTTTCCCCTCAGATAAACTAATCTATAAGAAGGTGACGGCACATTGTTTGATGATTTTGAGTGATGGAACAATAGTTTTAACTTGTGTTTGCATTGATGATGGCATCATTCACATATTTAAAAAGGGTCTAATTTACTGTGGATTAAATATTTGGAAACACTTGGTTAAATACAGAATATATCAATTTCTGCTTGTTTTTTTAATAGTTTAAATGAACTGAAAGGTCTAAAATGTGTCTGGGTTTCCCTCTTAAGTGGCTCAACGAGAATCCCCTTTCATGTCAATTCATCTCACCTTTTTCTTTTGTGTCACGACGTTTTATTTATTTAGTTTTTGTCTACCAGCTTTTACTCAAGCAGCTTTGTGAAAACGGGACGTGTGCCGCGTTCTGGACGTGCATCGATAAGCTGTGAAGCAGGACTGAAACAATACCTTCGCTGAGCAGCTGACAAATGAAAAGCAGTGATTCACATAAATGAACGTGTGAATGAGTCATCAGTTTCTCAGATGACCGCCTCAGACACCGTCTTGACTGGAAAAGCTTTGACTTCATTCAGCACATCTCTTTCACCCTTTCTTATATACGTACCTCTGTCTTGCGCACACACACAAACACACACACCCTTCACAATTCACAGAGCAGTGTTGTCCTGCTGAGAGATGTGTAAAGGAAAAGATAAATGGAGGATAAAGCTGAGGTGACAGGCCTGAGTTCATGTGTGTTTGCACGTGCATTTCTGTGTGTGTGTGTGTGTGTGCATGAGAGAACAGACCAACAAACCATCTGCTCATCTCCTCTTAATGAACAAAGCAAACAGCAGGAGTCAAGGCTGTCTCCAATTCTGGAGTCGCTTTATTGGTAAGCACACACAAACACACATCTATGCGCCTTTTAATCTGATTAGCTTTGATTGAGAACAGGGGCAAAGCAACCTTTTTAGACCTCGCTCCCACATCAGTGACAGAGAAGGTCTGAAACATAATTAGCAAGCTGTTACTGAGCTCTGCTTTGCAGTCACATCTGACCACAGGCAGCCAAATAGACCTAATGGATGGGAACTAACCAATGGGAACTAATATAACTGCGTCTGCAGGTGACTGGGAGAGGCAGCGCTGTTAGACAGCTGTTGGACACATCCATTTCAAATGCATTGGATCAGACCACTCAGGAGCAAACACAACCATGCAGAAGAGAGCACACCATTTCATGTGAGTGAAAGCTGCTTGACTTGAAGACAAAGCAGGACCTCTGCAAAGGAAGTCTGGCCTTTGACAAGATATGACACTGCGTGCACAACCAGAGGACCACGAGAAAAATTAATGTTGACTGTGTGTGACCGTATCCTGTTCAAGACCCCAATTAACACTCACCACTCCATCATATTGAAAATCACATGACCTCCAAATATGAAATATGTCCAGCACTGTTGGATGCATCATGCATAGCATAGCCTAGAAGTAAATACACACTGAGGAAATGGTTATGTTCGACATATTAGAGAAAAAATGATTTGTGCTTCAGGGTTTGAATTTCTTAGGATAAAAGCGGGTTGGCATTCTGAGTTCAATAACAGCTCATCAGAAGAATGACCTTAGGATCTGACCTGCTCCTTTGAATCAGGGCTGCCAACTCCCACATTTGACACGCCTCACCTCAAATTTCTAACATTGGAAAAAAAAAGGTTAATCTATCTGAGCTACACATACCATCTTGCCACTGTTCACACTCAACTAGATGCAGCGTTGCAAACTCATGAGTTTTTAATTGACTTTAAGTGAGCCAAGTGGTGAAATAATGCCCTCCGGTGGATACAAGCATGAATCAATCAATCAATAAATCAAAGCTTTATTTATAAAGCGCCTTCCACAATCCTGTCAGGAAGCCCAAAGCGCTGAACATGGTACAGTAGAAAATCAATATGAACTACACTTTGGTTCTGTAAAAACCATTGAGAAGAGGATAATTTAGTCTCCCAAAATAAAACGCTACGGCATTTTTGGTGTTAGCAACAGTGGAAGTCGAAAAAGTGTTAAACCATGTGGTCGTGTGGAGTGAAATGCTAAACTCAGCTAGCTACAGGGCTAAACCTGTCGATGGGCAGTTTGATGAATGAAGAGCGTTGACGCCATCCAGTGGCGACAAACTGGAACTACACTTTGTTGTGGCAGAATATATGGCAGAAAAATATGATCGCTTCCTTATCTAAGTAAAGCTGTGAAAAAATCCTATTCTTTGTTCTGTCCTATACAGAATTATAATATTATGGAGGAGGGGAATTTGTAAAGTTACAATAGCTACAACATGCCCTATAGGTTATAAACTGTAAGTCGCTTTGGATAAGTAAGTAAGTAAGTAAGTAAAAGTTTATTTATATAGCGCCTTTCACAGATATTAATCACAAAGCGCTGTACAACATGATAAAGATCAGGGCAAATACCTCTAACCAATAAAAACATCAGAAAAACAATAGCAGTGATAAACGTAGAAAATAAAATCATGAGTATAAACAAAGTGAAGGTGTGAACCCGAACAAAGCCATCATTCTGAAACATTTAGGGAGGGAACGCCTGGATGAAAAGGTGAGTTTTTAGATGATTTTTAAAGACCTCTACAGTGTTAGAGAGAGGGAGATTTGAAGGTAGACTGTTCCAAAGTCTGAGTGCAATAGTCTGAAAGGCCCTGTCCCCTTTGGTTTTTAGTCTGGTTCGAGGAACAGCCAGGAGGTTTTCAGATGTGGATCTAAGGTTCCGAGAGGTGATGTGTGGGGATAAAATCTCAGATAGGTAGCTTGGAGCCTGGTTGTTAAGAGCTCTATAGGTCAGGACTAAAACTTTAAACTGAATTCTATATTCTACCGGGAGCCAGTGGAGGGACTGTAAAACTGGAGTGATGTGAGCTCGTCTGCTGGATTTGGTTAGGAGTCTGGCTGCTGCATTTTGGATGGCTTGAAGGCGTGAGAGGGAGGTTTTGCTGAGACCAGTAAAAAGAGCGTTACAATAGTCTAAGCGTGATGACACAAAGGCATGGATTATTTTTTAAAAGATAAAAGTGTCTGCAAAATAAATAGACATAAACATAAACATACTTAGTATACATAATTATTGTAAATCCTTTAAAATATATTTTTGGTGTTAGTAACAAGGCAAGTCGCTTTAACAGAAGTTTTATCTTATTATTTAGCTTTAAACACTTAAAATTGTGTAGAGAATACAAAAGACAAGGAGAGATGGAGACATTAGTGCCCCCAGTGGTGATGATATGGAACTACACTTTGCTTCTGTTAAATCAAGTTGTTTCCAAATTTGAGATAGAATCTACACAAATCATCTATCAGAGAACATTTCAGCTTCCTTATCTAGATGAAGCCAAAAAAAATCCCAATAGTTGTTTTTGTCCTTTTGATGAAATTAATAGGAGGAGAGGTAACAATAGTAACAATAGAAGTTACAATAGTTACTTAGTAGAACATTTTCTCAAAATTATTAAGTGTTAGTATGTTTCGGTCTGTGTCTATTGTCTCTATCCAGAAAAGAGAGGCTGTGGAGAGATTAATATAAATAAATAAACAATATTGAAAATATGATAATAAATGTGCTTATTTATGCCGTTTTGGCAGGATCCCCCGATCTGCTGTCGAAAACCTTTTGAAGGATTGGTAATCAACAATACGCAACAGTGCCCTCTAGCGTCAAAATACATGTGCCACACTTAAACTTCGAACAAAAGAATATTTGTCCTTCTCGGGCCTCCGTCGTTGTGTCTCGTCGTGACAACATGGATCCTGTTAACAACTTCACCTCGGTGTTTGAGTGATTAATGCGTTTAGTCTTGGCCACACCACCCTTCTTTTGAGTTATTCTGCTCACCCGGAGACCATGTTCACCACCACCGGTTCCCGGGGCCTCTGTAAGTTTCCTGGTGGAAGAATCGTTCTGCTCACCTTTTCGTCGGACACTTTCTACGCTAGCTTAGCTAACGAGCGTTAGAATCTCGTTGCCATTCATTTACTCAGGGCTGTGCCTGTCAGTTATATAAACAACTCTTTGTTGTTATCCAATAATTACCGTTAACAGTTTAAACTCTAATTATTCAGTTATCCTAACTAACGAGCTATTTTTTCACTTAAATTAGATATATTCTATCTTTAAACTCTGTGACGTTTGTATGTACTTTTCGAACAGACAAGGCTCCTCTGTCTAAAGGCCTTCTGCTGGTTCTCAATGGGCTGACGGTGATGCTGACCCTGCTGCCACAGTACCAAGATATGTTTATTTACAACTTACAGGCCATCACACATCAGCACCAGGTTTGTCTCGTTTAAAATGATCCTATTTATACAGTCAACGCTCAGGAGCTGTGAGCCAAACACCCAGAGGAAGTGTTGTAGTGCTTGTGTGTGTGTGTTTGTTTTGTTTGTGTGCTGCAGGTGTGGAGGCTGATTTGTGGCAGGCTCGTCTGTCTCGATGTGAAGGATTCCTTCTGCAGCAGCCTCCTAATTTATAACTTTCGAATCTTTGAGAGGAGGTTCGGAACCAGGAAGTTCGCTGTAAGTTTAAAAACTGGACCTGAGAACTAGTGTTGCATTTCCTAGGATGTCATTTAAAGTGTTCTTTTAAGAAAGAGAACACAGAGCTTCTTCATCTGGTAGCCTTTGTGGTTGTATTTGAAAATAAACACAGCCTGTTTTGCTCAGGTGTAGTAAAACAAATCCTGTATAATGTTCTTACCTTCAGTCCTTCCTGCTGGGCACTTGGTGTCTCTCTGCATTGGTGGACCTCCTGTTGGCCCAGGCTGTCCTGTATCTGTTTGACTATGAAGTGGAAGAAGTTTCTGCTGGACTGTAGGTTGATATAATGCATCTCTGCAAATACATTTCCAACATCAATACATTTTATTTTTTATTATGATGTAAAGCAATCTTTTATCTTTTTACCCTCTCCCCTCCATGCGACTACGTGGTTCTTTCACAGTGAAGTACTTCTTTGAGCAAAAATTAATTTACTACCTATAAACATTAATTTGTTAAACTATGAAAATAACGTGGGATGGCCCATTGTTCGATCTCGATTCTACCATCGCTAGTCAACACTGAATCCTTAATGAACCCTCACTGGTCTTGCTCAGCTGTGGTGTTTATGGTGAACAAGACAACATTTTAAGTTAGGGATGCTCCGATCAGGTTTTAATCTGCCGGTCACCGATACCGATCAGCCAAGAGGCCGATCAGCCGATTACCGATACCAATTACATAGATTGGCTGTAAATTGTTCATTTAGCTATGGTGAGTTCTAATGCATGTGTTACATATTAATTCAGAAAAAACATGGTTTTACTTCACTTCAAATTATGTAATATCAGTAACAATTTATAAGAAATTGAAAACATGCAGGCTCTCTTTAGGCTACAATAGTGCAAAAAAAGTCAATATCTCACATCACCGCCTAAATCAAATTAAGTAACCAAGGATACATTCAGATACATCCAGTGAGCTGTTAAGCTCAGCATTGACACAGGACTGACATCTGAGCTCCAAATGTCACTTGTGAAACTCACAGAGGATGAGACGCTTTCTTTAAGGAGTCCCTCGATGAAAGAATGCACTGTCTGGGGAGCTCTGGAAGGGCTATGTCGGCGAAATATTTACGTCCTGGTAGCATGTAGCGAGGTTCCAAGTGGGTTAGTAGTCGGCGGAATCCGGCGTCTTCCACAACTGAAAAAGGCTGGTCGTCTAGTCCAATAAACTCAATGATTTTACGGGTAATTTGCTTAGCCTTTTGACTGCCACGCTCATATGGGCGAGTGTTTCCAAGCGTCGGCTGCGTTAGCTGCCGTCTGACTGTGGCCGCATTAGCAGGCTTCTTGTCATTGTCTGCAGTGAGCCTCAAAAACTCACCATGCTCCGCCAAGTGTTTAGTCTTTAAATGTCGGATCAAATTCGTTGTGTTGAATTTTTTTGTAGTGCTTCCTCCGTGGGGTATGTTTTTGTTGCAAGTGTTGCAAGACGCAAACTTAATATCACTCTCGCAAACCGTAAAGAAGTTCCACACGGCAGACATGTTTGTCTTTGCGGGTTTGCCACCACGCGCATGTGCACTAAGCGGGGAGAAGCGGAAGGGTGAACTACCGGCTGGGAAGAGTAAGCGCCAGTGCCAGATCGGAAATGAAAGGCAGTGATCGGCGATCACACACTTTTGCAGGAAAATCGGCCGATAATTATCTGTGGCCGATCAATCGGAGCACCCCTATTTTAAGTGCTTTATTTCTTCATTCTTAACTCACGCTCCATGCTTATTACACAGGTCTCCGAACACACTTCCAGCTCTTCCAGCCGACAAAATCCAGGCTGCATTCACAGACAACAGGTCCATCAACTAATTGTTTACCAACACAAACAGAACCTGCGCTTCGTGCACAAAGAAGAGTACTGTAGGTGTAGATGGGGGAGGGGCTGAGGGCAGTAAGATGGAAGAGTTGTGATCCAGTCATTAAGAAGGGGACGTTCACAATGGTTGGACGAGGTTTGTCCAGAATTGTACATTTCAGAGGCTATTAAAATGATCTTACCATGCTATTTATTTATTGGTTGCCATCTTCATGTGACAAGCATTTTAAGCAGTTTGGCCAAAAATACTCCAGAAAGACATTGTCTACTGCAGCTTTAAATTCACACCATGTTTATTAGAGAAAACAGTCATTAAAATGGGACTTAAGTTTTAAATAAATAAATCTTATTTTGATTGTGAATTTGCTCATAATTTATTGGTGGCTACTGGTGTACATCTCCACCTGCCTCACGATTCTGATTATCTGCCTAAAGATTCGATTTGAGTCTGAAATGCATCACGATTCATCACACAAAATTCTTCATTACTTAATAAAAGCAGTAGAATAGTTTTCAATTTCTTTTTTATTTCGATATTCCTGAAAAACAGAACATACATCTATTCACTATAGTGAGCAACAATGTTTAAAGTGTGCTGCCTATAATTACTTAAATAAAATAAGAAATATTGTTTTCTGTAGAGCATTCTTTAGATAGAATACTACTGAACTTAAAAATAGTAAACAAATACTGTGTTAAGTGATTGTTTCACATCCAGGATCCCAAAACAGAAATTATCCCAGACATCCGATTTAGATGCAACGGGTGCATCTTTGATTACTGGTAATGTTCGCCCTCTATCCCCTTCCGCCATTTCTGTTTTAAATTGGCGCTAGGGCAACGCAGTGCGCATGTCATTGCAACTCTGCCCCCAGAATTAGTTGTAAAACCTCTAAACTTTATTGTCCTCGCGTGTCCAGAACATAGACATAGGGAGAAAATCTCATAATGTCACGTTGCTGCATCGATGCAGAATCATGCACGGCTGAATCGCGATGCATCTTAGAATCGATCATTTTTCCCACCTCTAGTGGCAATAATAAACATAAGACCACCCTTTGACTTAAACATGTATAAAAACATAACAGGCAGGCAGTTCAGACTAGGGGTGGACGAAATATCGAGCCGATATTCGTCCTCAGTAAAGCCGATTTAAAGTCGGCCATCCTCGGGCAGCCTGGTGCTGTTGCAGAATTTAATGAAATAGTTTTTTACGTTCACTGATAACACCTGCATAATAAATACTCTATATTCACTTTATTTAAGTGTCAGACTTTAACACTGAGCAGTGCACAAAGTTAAGAGTTAACAGTTCAATTCAGAGTTCAAAATCTGATTCAGCTTCAGATATTTTGTGCATCAAATTATGTTATTAGTGACATCTTAGCATGAAAATAAGGTGTAAAATGTCTAGATATCATCCATGGAAATCAGCTTATAAAAATCGGCGTGCATATCGGTATCGGCAATAGAAAAACCAACACTGGTCGACCTCTAGTTCAGACTTCAGTTTTAGTTTGTTCCAAACAGTGAACTAGCTTTCTCTTCCTCCACCTCGTCAGTCTCGCTCTCTTCTGGTAAACATTAAGTACATTCAGTACGTACATTTCTCACCCTTATACATGAAGTGTTTTGATTTTTATCAGTTCTTTACTTTTATCCTCTTGATTCCACCCACAGGCTTGCCCCTGTCTTCGCCCTCTTTGTGCCTTTCTACCTGTCAGTCCCCAGGATGCCCGTCACCCAGGTGCTGGGCCTCATCCACATCACCAACAAGTCCCTGGTTTACATAGTAGGCTTGCAGGTGAGCCCACACTTCTGTTCCTGTTTTGGGTCCATTGTTCTTTCTGATGTTCTCTATCTGGTCTCACCTTCTTCTTCTTCTTCTTTGCAGCTGTTGACTTCCAGCCCTTTCATGTGGCTCCTTGCACTCAGTGGACTGGTGGGTTGCCAGCATTTCTGTTCATACGTCCTAGAAGAGATGATGCAGTGTTTTTCATGAACAGTCAGGTTTCTATAAAGATTCTTTAACGATGATCAAACGCAATCAGTACTCAAAATTTAGCCTTTAGATTAGCCAATATAACCATATGAAATATAAAACCACCTAAATCTCGTGACTTCCATGTTTTGAGCGAATGCTTCATTGTTTCATCAGCTTGATTTTTCAGCCAGAGGAAGATCCGTGTTGCTCAATAACTTTCAATTTGTGTAACACCGAGTTGCAAAACAGACCTCCTCCCATTTAGCAACAGCTAAAATAACCAGAGTTTATTTTCATGGTGCTGTCATTATTTTTTATTACGCCTCTTTATGGGAGCATTATGGTCTTTTTGCCGTACTCTCACAGACCTCTGAGTGGTTTATTGATTTTTCAGAGAAACCTTTTGTTTACATCAACTAAAACGGATATAATTTACAGAAAAGTTTTCCCAAATGTGCCTTTCAGATCTCCGGTGGGCTGTACCACTCCAACGTTCTCTGGTTGCAGAAGATTGTTTTTGTTCCCGCCTGGGTGTCTCGCATTGGGCGGTTTGTGTTGGAGCCAATCTTCTCAAGTGAGTCCAGCTGCTAAAACACATATCTGAGTCCAGGCTGGTGTCCTTTACTCGGTCTGTAAAGCCAACCCTAACCCTTTGTGATAAGGTTCTCAGCCGAGTGATGAGACACCTCTGGGGATGGGAGCCACTCTGGACATTCAGAGACAGCAGAGAATGGATCTGCTGGACCAGCAGCTGCTACTAGCTCAATACAACGAGGCCAGGAGGAACACTAGCCATCAGCCACAGGTACGCTGATGTCAGCGTCATGCCTTGTGACTATAGGTTGTAGGTATTTTAAAAGTACTTTATTTTGTTTTTGTAGGCTGGGTTGTTGCAGTGGACCAGGTTGTTTCCATCCCTGAGGCACAGAGGACAGAACCGTCCCCCTATGCAGCCTCACCCACAGGCTCAAACTCATCAGTCCACACAGTCACCATTATTAGAGAACTCTGCTGTTGCAGAGGAGCAGGTGGGGGCCGGAATACATTCCTCTTTCTGTGCGTCTCTCATTGTTTCATGTTTTTTTGCCTCTGCAAAAATTTTGGCTCTTTGCTGCAAAAAAATGCAAATCAAAGCCCATTGTTTAGTTTTGTCTTCACCAGTTTGCTTAAGCTGATTTGCCCTCTGCAGACACCTGATTGTGCTTTTGACCCGCAGGTTGCACGGTTAGTGGAAATGGGCTTTTCCAGGATCGACGCCCTCGAGGCCCTCCGAGCTTCAAATAACGACATTAATCTGGCAACAAACTTCCTCCTGCAACACTGACAGGGAACATCAGTGAGGGGAAGGTTTATTTAAAAACAAACTAATAAAGGAGTAAAAAGATGAACGCAGACGGCACAGAACAACCATTAAAGAACCAACCACAAGTAAGAATTGTTGCACAGAACCAAAGAGAATCGGTGTAGGAAAAACCATAAATTGTACAGATTATTTGCGGGTGGTGTCACTGCTCCCTGTGGTGGTGCTGGGCTGAAGCACCCTGAGGTGAGGCTGGCGAAGTAAAAGACGATTGCGTCATAGCTTTTTGACAGCTGTGAAACGGGTGTTGTTGCACAAAGCAGGCGAGTTAGAGCTCAAACTCTAAAGAACAGCTCGTTGGAAATGCAGAGATCAACCAAGCTGGAGCTGCTGCATCTTCAGAATACTAATCTTTACTCCAGACCAGCTGGTTCGCTAACTCTCCATGTTAGAATCCAAAAACACAGTTTTATGTTTTCTCGTGTCACGTTGGGCAGCTTTATAAAAGCAGACATTTACAGATGGTGTGAAAAATGCACCAAGCATTTAAAAAAATGCATTCGGAATCTAGTTTTTGCGTTCCATTGGATGAACTGGAAATCACTTGTTTTTGCATCTGCTACAGCAGAAGGTTAAATAGTCTCAAGGAATCTCTTATGTCACCTGGTTCATCGGGATTTTCCTGCTGTTATTTGGCAGGGTTTCATGGATGTATCAGGGCTAAGCCTTTTCATTGATGAGAGGTTTTAGCACAACACCCACAGCCTGACTGGCAGGAACCACGAGCCTCGTGTCTTTGGAGGTGACTGGTTTGCCTCTGCTGTTAGAAAGACAAGGCTGCCTGGTGGCATGCTGGTCTGAGGGCTTTTCTCAGGGTCCGCGTGTAACAAGTTTATATTCTTTTATTCCGTCTTAACCGCACCTGTCTCCGCTAGCACACCTGTCATATCACAGAAATCTTAAAAATCTGTTTGTATTTATTATGCAACACCACGTCAAGAGAAATCTATGGAAAGTAAGCACTGCTAAAGATCTACTTTGTGTAAATAAACAGAAATGCAAGAAAGGTGGTATTGCAGCCACTGATGTCAAAAGGAAGATGCTAATTTTATATTTTGTGCATAATAATATTGATATTTGACCACTGAAATATGTTGTTGGTGTGTGTGTGTGTGTGTATATTTGAGAGTTATTCTTTAATATATGGGTGTGATGAGAGATTAGTTGCATGGACAACTTTCTGGTAAACTAATAGTTTTAATTTGATCTGTGGAATAAATGGCCTCTTGACTGAGTCTTCTTTTTTATGTTGTATTTAAAAGTCCTACTTTTATGCATGAAATAATAATCAGCAAAAAGAAGTATACGCAACTTAGAAATACTAATCAAACCCTGAAAACGCTGTCTGGTGTTGTCCCACATTTCAACACACGATGGCACTCTTATCAAAATATTTTCTCAAAAACAAACAAAAAAACTAAACCCCCACCTAAATCTACAAGCGCTGGTCGTAGAATTAGAATATCATGACAAAGTTGATTTTTTTCAGTAATTCCATTCAAAAAGTGAAACTTGTATATTAGATTCATTCATTACACACAGACTGATATATTTCTAATATTTACTTAAGTTTGGTGAATATAACCAACAACTAATGACAATCCCAAGTTCAGTATCTCAGAATATTAGAATATTATGAAAAGGTTTAATATTAAGCATTGTTTAAGGGCCATGGTATCCCTGTTGCTGATTGGCCAGCAAACTCACCTGACCTTAAATCTACGTAGTATTGTGACGAGGAAGATGCAATACTCCAGATCCAACAGTTTAGAAGAGCTGAAGGCCACTATCAGAGCAAGATGGGCTCTAACACCTGAGCGGTGCCACAGACTGATCGACTCCGTTCCATGCTACATTGCTGCAGTAGTCCAGGCCGAAGGAGCCCTAACAAACTATTGAGTGTTGTACATGCTCATACTTTTCAGTTGGTCAACATTTCTAAAGTTCCTTTTTTCATTGATCTTTATTGATTTTCTAATTTTCTGAGGTTCTTTGGGATTTTCATTAGTTGCAAGTTATATTGATCAGAATGTTAAGAAATACCATTTGAAATGTATCTGTCTGTGTGTAATGAATGAGTCAAATATACAAGTTTCACCTTTTGAATGGAATTGCTGAAATAAATCAACTTTGTCATGATATTCTAATTTTATGACCAGCACCTGTATACAGTAAATGCCACTAAAGAAAATGCAGAAGTTAATGTGGCACTTAAAGCCAGCTGAATCAAGTGTGTTGGAGCAGAGAAACCACAAAAACATGCTGGATACTGTTCCTCCAGACCATTGAATACCTCTGCTTTAAGCTATTACTTCAAAAGTGGGTTTCCCCAGAAAATGACCAACTACATTTTTCATTTAAACCAAGCATGGGGGTGGAGGACGCGCTCATCTACCTGCAGCACCGGGCTCTCACTCACCTCGAGATGCCACTGTGAGAATCATGTTATTTGACTTCTCAAGTGCCTTCAACACCATCCAGCTGTGACTACTGCAGCAGAAGATGAGGGGTGCAGGAGTGAACGAACATCTGATTGCATGGACATAAACTACCTCACCAACAGGCCACAGCACGTATGTCTGAGGTGGTTGTGTGCAGTACTGGACCTGCACAGGGTACAGTGCTCTCACCCTTTCTCCTCACCTTCTACACCTCAGACTTCACCAACAACAGCAGCTGCCACCTTCAGAAGTTCTCTGATGACTCGGCCATTGTCTGGGGGAAATTACGCGGAGTACAGGTCAGTCATCGTGGACTTTGTTGACTGGTGTGAGTGCAACCACCTTTGCTTTAACACCAGTAAGATAAAGGAAAGGGGGATTGACTTCCAGAGAAACACTCCTCCTCACTCACCAGCAAACTTCTATTGAGCAGACACTCAGGTGGTGAATACCTTTCAGTACCTGGAGGTTCACCTCAACAGTAAACTGAACTGGTCCAACAACACAGATGCTCTGTATAAAAAATAAACCCATTTATTGCCTTGAACACCATCAAAAGAAGTTTATAACAAATTCTGAAGTTAACAGGCAGCCAGAATTGGAATTGTGTGTTCATGCTTTCTCTTGCCTTCCAAAAATCTCGCTGCAGCATTTTGAACAAGCTGCAAGCGAGCCACAGTACCGTACCCTTACTGAATAAGACAGTGTTACAGTAGTCAAGGCGTGATGTAATGAAGGCATGAACAACAATCTCAAGATCTTGTCGAGTTAAAAATGACTTAACTTTAGCCAAAGGCCTCAGATGATAAAAAGAGGAAGATACCACAGTACTGACATGAGCATCAAAGCAGAAAGCATTATCGATCCTCACTCCAAAATTAACTGCAGAAACACCCAGATAAGAATTGAAATCAGCACAGTCCATATGTGAAGAGTCAAATGACTATTTGGTCCAAACAAGACTGCTTCTCTTTTGTTTTCATTGCGACACAAGAAGTTCTCAGCCATCCATGCCTTGACTTCATTCACACAGTCCTTAAGTTGTTTGATAGAACAGTCTGATGCACAATCCAAGGGTAGGTAACTTGCAATCGTCAGCACATAGGTGGAAACCAATTTCATACTTCCGCATAATGTCACCCAGCGGAAGAATGTAAATAGAAAACAGCAGAAAACACACACACACACACACACACACACACACACACACACACACACACACACACACACACACACACACACACACACACACACACACACACACACACACAATATATATATATAGTACTATATAGTACTAATACAGTAATAAAACTCGATGAATAGTACTAATATATATATATACTGTATATATATAGTACTATATAGTACTAATACAGTAATAAAACTCGATAAATAGTACTTATATATATATATATATATATATATATATATATATATATATATATATATATATTAGTGTTGTGCATCTCTACTTGCCTCATGATTCGATCCAATTCCGATTATCTGACTAAAGATTCGATTTGAGTCTGAAATACATCACAATTCTTCATTACTTAATAAAAGCAGCAGAATATTTTTTCAATTTCTTTTTTATTTCGACATCCCTGAAAAACAGAACATTCATCTATTCACTATACAGTAGTGAGCAACAATTTGAACACACGATTATAGTAATATAGATTATAGTAATTATAGGCAGTGTGCTGCCTATAATTACTTAAATAATATAAGAAATATTGTTTTCGGTAGAGCAGCTTTAAGATAGAATATTACTGAACTTAAAAATACTAAACAAATACTGTGTTAAGTGATTCTTTCACATCCAGGATCCCAAAACCGAAATTAGCCCAGATATCTGATTTAAATGTAACGGGTGCATCTTTGATTGCTGGTAATGTTTGTCTTGCATCCTTGTCCGCCATTTCTGTTTTAAATTGGCGCTAGGGCAACGCAGTGCGCATGTCATTGCAATTCTGCCCCCAGAATTAGTTGTAAAACCTCTAAACTTTATTGTTCTCGCACGTCCAGAACATAGACATCGTCCAGAACATAGACATAGAGAAAATCTCATAATGTCACGTTGCTGCATCGATGCAGAATCATGCACGGCTGAATCGCGATGCATCTTAGAATCGATCATTTTTCCCACCTCTAATCTATCTATATATATATATATATATATATATATATATATGTATATAGTACTAATATATATATATATATATATATATATATATATATATATATATATATATATATATATATGTATATAGTACTAATACAGTAATACAACTCAATAAATAGTACTAATATATATATATATATATATATATATATATATATATATATATATATATATATATAGTACATATATATATATATATATATATATATATATATATATATATATATATATAGTACTAATACAGTAATAAAACTCAATAAATAGTACTAATATATATATAATACTAATACAGTAATAAAACTCAATAAATAGACTATTGAGTTTTATTATTGTATTAGTACTATATACATATATATATATATATATATATATATATTAGTACTATTTAGAATAGTACTAATATATATATATATATGTATATAGTACTAATACAGTAATAAAACTCAATAAATAGTACTAATATATATATATATATATATATATATATATATATATATATATATATATATATATATATATGTATATAGTACTAATACAGTGCAAATTTCACAAGTTGTGCCAAAATAATAATAATAATAGTAAAGTTTCGTTATTAAAAGACTGAAAACTAATACCAATATTTTACAATATTAAAGGTCAACGGTGATATTGGACAATATAAATGGTAGACCGATAAAATAGGACATCCCTCATATCTATGCCAATCAGATAAAACAAAACTGTTGGATAAACTATGGATCTAGTGTGCTAATGCACTGCAGTACAAGTGAAATCAAAAGATGGAGCTTTAATTTTATTTTAGAGCCACCTAAAACTATTAAGAAATGTTTTCACATCATTTGATAAGCACCTACCAATCTAGCATAGTGTAATAAATTCATGAAATGCTTGTCCAAAATAACACTGTTCATGTTTTGTAGCTTCTTGCCGCTAGATGGAGACATTGAGTGAGCTCTGTGGTGTCATATGTTGCTGTGCCACACCCACACACTCCACAGACATCTCCCTTCAGCAGACAGCCATGCTTAAAGGGGGGTGGGGGGTGGGGGGGGGGGATCTCACAGATCCCCAGTTATTAAATGGAGGCACTAAAGTATAAATCATACAAATCACACACATTCATCTCATCTTTCCTTGTAAGGTTCTCCTATTCCCAGCTGTCACATATTGGTCCTATCGGACTCCTGAGGTGGGTGGCACTGTATTTTTCCACCTCAAATGAAAATAAAATTGTTTATGTCCTGAATGTATTTGTTGTTAAACCTGAACCTTAAATTTCTAATGCTTTGAAGTGTTTTTTAGAAGAAACATGAATAATAATAATAATAATAATAATAATAATAATAAAACATATTGTAGATGGCTTACTAATTGTCCTTTTTGGAGGACTAATATTTACCTCCTTCAAGACTGATGGGCTAACAGCTAGTTTGAATGCAACAAAGACTAAAAAACACAAACTAGGTTTTCTGGTGGATGTAGAAACAGAAGGAAATCACTTTGATATCCCATGCAGGCTTTGCTTGCTGCATATTTTCATGTTTTACTGGCACACTGGCTATAAAATGATGATGTGTGCTATTCCTAACTTGATCTTTCCCAGTAC